CTTTCTGACCAAGAATAGAGTTTGTTTAAATCCTCCTGAAGTTCCCTAACATCTACGTTTGAATCAATTATCCTACCTATCTTTGTTGTCATGGGCGAATTTGCTCATATCACTAGAAATTCCCTCATCAAGATCATTGATATATATTATAAACAACAAGGGGCCCCAAAGACTGATCCCTGTGGAACGCCACTTGTTACAGATCCCCACTCGGATTTAACCCCATTTATGGACACTCTCTGCTTCCTGTCAGTGACCCTGACTCGATCCCACGAAAAGCACTTTTCCCCCAATGCCATGAGCTGCCCTTTCTTTTAACATCTATGGTGGGGAAAACTCTATCAAAAGCCTTACTAAAATCTAAGTAAATAATATCAAATTCTTTATTGTGGTCAACAGCCTCAAAAGCTTTACGGAAGAAAGTTAATAAATTAGTTAGACAAGACCGGCCTCTTGTGAATCCATGCTGAGTATCATTAATCAAGCTATGCTTATCGAGAGGCTTCTTATAATCTCAGCTATAATTGATCTAGTAATTTGCCTACAATTGAGGTCAGGCTTATTGGGCGGTAATTTGACGGTAACGACTTGTCCCCTGTTTTAAAAATAGAGTTACATTAGCCATCTTCCACATATCAGCACTACAAACCCGTTTTTGAAGAGATAAATTAAAAATTTAGTTAATGGTTCACAGAGTTCCATTTTGGGATTCCTTAAGAACTCTTGAAAAAACCTATCAGGGCCCGGCGACTTATTTTGCTTCAGTCTGTCTATCTGCCTCACAACATATCACTAGTGACTGTTTATGTTACATAATTTACTTCTTCTAGCCCACTGTAAAAATTAATTACTGGAATATTGTTAGTGTCTTCCTGTGTTTAAAAAATGAGAGAAAATAATTATTTAAATCAAGCACATTTCATTCTCATTGTCAGTAAGGTTTCCCATAGTTATTTTTAAGGGGACTATCTTATCTCTAACTTTTGTTCTATAGACCTGGGAAAAAACTTTTTGGGTTAGTTTTAGAATCCCTAGCAACTTTAAAATTTCATAGTCCTTTTAGCTTTTCTTATCCCCTTTTTAATGTCCCTCTTAATGTCAATATTTCTGATTCCATAAGATGACCCTCACCTCTTTTGATACGCCTATAAATTCCTTTCTTATGCCTAGTAGGATATTTGAGCCCTTTTTATTCATCCCTTTTGGGTCATTTCTATTTGATCTAATTTCTTTATTGGGATAAACGCTCTTTGAGCAGCATGTTTAGTGTTCAGAAAACTGTCATATTGATAGCTCTCTTCGTTACCCAGTCAACAGATGATAAGTGTTCTCTAAGCCCATCGTAATCTGCTAAGCGAAAATCTGGGACTGTTACTGAGTTATCGCTACTATCGTACTTCCATTCAATGCAAATGTAATTGATTGTGGTCGCTAGCACCCAGTTCCTCTGAAATTTCTAATTATTAACAAGGGATTCATTGTTTGCCATAACTAAGTCAAGCAGGTTATTTCCCCTTGTAGGTTCTGTCACAAACTGCTTCAAAAAACAACCCGAAAATTTCTTCTAAGAAGTCGTACGATTCTAAATTCCCAGTCAAGAAATTCCAATCAACAATGACTAAAGTTAAAGTCTCCTAGAATTACTACATTATCGTGCCTTGTGGCCTTAACAATTTCCTCCCATAGTAGTTTCCCTTGGTCCCTATCTAAGTTAGGGGGACGGTATATCACTCCTAAAATCAGTTTTTCATGCCCCTCTGAAAATTCTATCCAAACAGACTCTGTATGTGTTACTTCAGACTTAATACCCGTTTTTATGCAACAGTTCAAGCGATCTCGGACATGACAATAATGAAGAATGCCAACTAACATGGTAACTGTACACTAGATAAAGAAACTCACACACTAACTATATCTTCCTATATTTATGTTTTAATATGTTCAACAAGATATAGATGTGTAGTAACAAGTATTCGGAACATTATCAGACCTACTCTTTGACACACTGAAAAAGATAATATAACATTATCGCTCCTAATTATACATGTGCAGAGCAGTACTACCTCCATCATGGCACAAGACACTTTAGAAAGCCACCCCCTGACATCCCCTGACCCCATACTGTCTATATTAAAAACACAAACTCACATTCCCTTACATGCTCAAGCCCGTACCTGAAATCTAAAGTCATAAACCCCTGTCTCTTAATCACAGGTCACCAGGTCACCCCCCCTACGTCCCCCCTCATGCCTAACAACTGCACACCCATATATCCACTACCACACACTTTTATTCCACATTCCATCCTCCACTAATCTCAAAATAGAACAAAAGTGACAGACTCAGGTAATACACCCATACCAGCTCTACCCTGCACCCAACCCTAACATAACACCTACCGTCAGATTACGATAACCCAATGAGAAACTATTTACCCGCACCTTCCCATATAGTAGCCTATTCCTGCAAACCGTACGATACACACTGCAAGTTCCCTCACCCTACAATCACCCCCCACCTCCTGCATACCCCAAGAAACATACAAAAAATTTGCCACCATGTACATCACAGCCCTCCGAATGTCCTTGGAAACCCCACCCACATCAAAGTGCAATGCCCTCAAGGTCGAAATGTTACTCCAACCCCCCACCACTATACCTACGATCCTCGCTAACCATGTCCTTACAACTCCCAAGTTTTCACAAAAATATACAGCATGAAAAGCTGTCTCCTCCTCCCCACAATGCTGACAATTTCCCGCACTTACATAACCCATTCTATCTAGCACAGACCTTGAAGCTAGTATTCCCAGAATAAACCTATATACCAATTCAGGAACCTTCGGCTTTAATTTAATCTTTCGAAAGTCTTCCCAAATGTCCCTCCAATCGTACATCGGGTATGTATCTAGTTTCTGTATCACCTCTCCCTGCCTACCTGTCCTCCCAAGCCTACTAACCTTTACCTTCCTTGCATCCTGGATTGTCAATAAATTACGCATCATATCTTCACACATCAATAACGCCTTTCCCTTCCACCATTTCCTCACATCCTCCATGACCTCTCCCACCCTAATACCCCTCTCCCCTCCCGCCCTTAGGTACCTCTGCTTCACATATACTGCCTTAACATGTATGTCCAAAGGTATGAGCCCCAGCCCACCCAGTCGCACGTCCGTGATCACCACCTCCTTCCGAAGCCACAGCCTCCCATAACCCCACACATACCTCAAAACCCCCCTCTCCAGTTCCTAAATATCACATGCCCTCAGGGGATATACTTCTGCCACTCCCCCCACTTTAATATACACCAGTGTGTTTACCACCATCACCCTCTGCTGCAATGTTACATCCCCGGCCCTCCACCCTCGCATCCTACCCATCGCTCTACTCACAACGTCCCTTGAATTTACCCTCTGCGCCTCCCCAGCATCTGCCGTGTACACCACCCCACAGATCTTAATTCTGTCCACAACGTTGCACCCATACAATTCCCTCAAGCCTCCCCCCACCCACGTACCTACTTCCATTAACTTAGACTTTGCTCCATTAACCCTCATCCCAGTCGCCCCACCAAAAATCTCTATTATACGTCCCACATTCCCCAGTCCTATTTCCCCTCCCACCAAAATTGTGGTGTCATCCACATACCCCACAATCCCTCATCTGCCAGGACCCTTCCCTCCCTATTCCCACACTCCTTCCTCTATAAGCCTATAAAATGGATCCTGCAAGCATGCAAAAAGGATTTGTGACAAGGGACAACCCTGTCTCATACCCTTCCCATCTGTACCGGCCGCCCTAACTTCCCATTAACTTGTACCCTGACCCTTGCAGGTGTATACAAAGTAGTCACCCACTGTACAATCTCCTCCCCAAAACCCTGTTTTTGTAAAACACACCACAACATACGTTATCAACACAGTCAAAAGCATGCCTCCAATCGATCCCCATTATCCTCCCCCTACTTGTCTGCCCTTCACGAAATCCCTAATTCTTCCATGCCCCTCACGCATACTTCGACCTGGAATCCCATACTGTCCTCTATATAGAACAAGGTCAATCACTTTCTTCATTCGATTACCCAAAATCTTCGCAAATATCTTATAATCAGTGCACATGAGGGATATCGCCCTATAGGCACCCAGGGTCCTCCCCCCTCCTTTATAAACCAAAACAACTACCCCCATGCCCTGCGTTTCCCCCAACACTCCCCCTTCCTTCATACAGTTAAGCAAAGAGACCAGACATTCCTTCATACAATCCCAGTGTGCCATATAGAAATCGTTAGGAATCCCATCTATCCCTGGCGTTTTTCCCCTACTCAAGCTCATTACCCACCTCTCCCACCTCCTCCTCACTGATCCTACCCTCAAGCTCCGCCCTCTCTTCCTCCCCTAAAATACCCCGAATTCCCCCCCCCCTATAATCTCTCCCTCCCTTCCTCCACCCTCCCCCTGCTTAAAATTTTCCTTGAACCAATGATCAGCATAGTTACTCATTCCATCAGTGGTTCTTAGTACCTGCCCCACCCTATTGACCCCACCCATTTACACACCTCTAATCCCATAATCGTGGTCATCTGCTGTCTTTCCCGGAACCTCCGCAAAACATATCCTGATGGTTTGTCACCCCATAGTACCTCTTCTAATCCTCCCTCACATGTATCGCATCAAAAGGAGAATTCTGTATATCCTTCAATCTTCCCCTTAAAACCTCTATTTCCCCATGCCAACCTCCCCCACCCCCTTCATAGCAATCATTGAGCTGCCCCTCAAGGTATTTCTGTAATCCAAACCTCCACCACGCCTCATCCCGTCCTCTATGCTGGTAATAAACCTTAATCCTTCGTTTAGCTTGCATCTCCCACCATCCCAAAACATCCTCCTCGATGTTGCGTGCCTCCCAGAATTGTCTCCACCAGTCCCTGAATTTAAACCCCTCCCCCTCCACCTGAAGTAACCTCACATTCATTTTCCAATACCCTGCATACCGGCAAACCATACCATCCCATGCCACCTCTGCCAACACGGCACGATGGTCCGAAAAACCTTCGTCAACCGTCAGCACACGTTCTACTGTAATCTCACGAGTTATGTATATGCGATCTAATCTGGCAGCATAACCCCTCCGCATAAACGTGTGCTCCACTTTCCACCCATCAACCCTGACTACATCATAAACCCCTGCATCCCTCAACAAATCCCTCAACACCCCAAGCACACACCCTGCACCCCTCGGCTCCACATCCTTATTTCTAATTACACAGTTCCAGTCCCCACCTACTATGGAAACCATGGGTAAACCCTGCAAGTGGAAAAGCAGAACCTCCCATATAAAATCCACCTTTATCCGTCTGTTACTCTCAGCCGGCATATATATCCCCAGAAAACACACTCTAATCTCCCCCAAGAGCCCCTCCACACTCACCACCCTCCCCTCCCCCCTCTTCCCGAGCAAGCACTTGAAATGGGCTGGATTCCCTCACTGCCACTGCCACTCCACCCTTTACTTTCCCTGAACTATCAGCATACATCCTAAACCCTTTCAACCTCAACTCTCTGCCACCCTTAAAATTGTGTTCCTGTATAAAGCACACGTCAACATCAAAACGCCTCAAAACATTCTCGAACCATACACGTTTAACATCAGCTCTAAGACCATTCACATTTATAGTTAAACACTTAAAGATGCAAAAAAGGTGGCTTTCTTTTATGTCTCTGTGTCCTGTCTATAACGCTTTTTATTACTCTTGACTACTCCCGTACACTCTTGCCCTCCTTGATTCCCTCCCTCTCCTGTGTACTACTCTGCTCTTTCTTAGTTACTCCCGCCCACGTCTTCTTGCCAGGTCGCTGAGCTGGAGTAATGACCTCGTCATCCGATAGGCCTCCAGCTCTCTTCCTAGAAGCCCCCTCAATCTTCATGTCATTATTTCCACTCCCTCTGTGCACCTCAGCCTCCACCTGCAACAATTGCAACATGCCAGATCCAGACCCCGGAGACCCCATGGCCTGTCCAGTCAGGTCCTCAACCATCAGAAGTCCCCCGTCTAGAGCGGGGTTTTCCTCCGCTGGCATGTCTAGGAAGGACTTAATCATCTCCTGCAGAGGTTCAGATAATTCCTGTATGCCACCAGCCTCCCCCACTCCCACAGGCTGCTGCTCCACTTTAGGTTCTTCCTGTGGGGGAGCTACCAAAGCTTCTGGTAGCGTCACACAACGCTCCTCCACACCGTCAACTTCATCTGCCCAATTTCCTTTGCCTACTGCAACCACAGCAGCAGACGAAGGAGCCACCAACGATTCTGTGGCTACTGATATTTCCTTTGACCGTGGAGCTGCAGCCTTACCACACCCGGCTGCCATGTGATCAAAAGCACCACACAGTCTACACGTTTTACGTTGTCCTGCATAGGTCACAAACACCTGTGTCCTAAAATCCTCCAGAACAACATACGAGGGGATAGGTCTTCTCAAACTCATCTTGATAGAGTAAGATCCCACATCCGTCCATCGTTCCAGCATGTACCTCACCATAGCTTCAAAATGACTCACGAATATCCACGTCATCAACTTCAAAAGGAACATTCCGAATTCTCACCCAGGTGTAGTATTTGGAGGCATCCCGCAGGCGTACCTCCAGCCCAGATGAAATGGTGATACATCTCTCCTGGTAGTTAGTTACCGTCCTTTCTTAAGCTTCCACTGTGCAGAACTTGACGAAAATCCTTGTAGATCCATTCAGAGCAATCCCATACAGCGCATTGTTGGCAATACAAAAAGTATCTCTGATGATCGTCGGCAGTAAAACAGAGGCATTTGAAGGGTAAATTGCTTTTTTGACTAAGTCGACACACACAGTGTTACTCCTCCTGCGGCTACTGGCAGCCATCTTGGAGAAAACAGGAAGATGTGCAACAGAGAAAGCAGGAGCTTTTGCGCAGCACGTCCACACGGCCCGAGAGCGATGATGACAATCAAGGGGATTAGAATTAGGGAAACTGCGGCGGGAATATATCGTACAGTCTGTAGAAATAAACTCATTTATGGAAAAAGGTGGGAAACCTTGTTTCCAGAATCATACAGAAATATTATGGTAAAGAGACTCATTAATGTGCACACTAAGTAAAAAGGGACCGTTTTCCTTTTTTAGCGAGGATATGACTATATTGGAGGATACGTGAACGTTGTAAGGTTGTTTGAGAGTTGTATGGTATGGATGGGTATGATAAACAGCAGTTTTATACTTATCAATGCAAGTCAAAGTATTATTACCGTTTGTCGTGCATTGTACTGACAATACAAGACAAAAACAATTGGTCATAAAACCTTTTCTATTATTGTGTTAATATGTGTGTATGAGTATGTAGGTATATTTGTAGGTGTATACATATATATGTATATATATGTAAATGTATATGTGTGTGTATTAACAACTTTTTAAGACAGCCTTTGTATCATGCGACACAATTATTATATACATATGTAGGTACTTGTGAGATCTTGTGTGCTAACCAGATCTTTTAGTAATATGTACCATAAGCCTTGAGTGGCATTATTACAGTAAGGATTTTCAGTGTAACAGAAGTTGAGTGACTGATCAAAGGTGAGTTTAAAGTAAGAAATTGTTTTTGTTAATAAGGGACATGTACGGAAGTTTATTTAAATGGATATTCTATGGTATTAGACGCGGTGGGCAGCCATGTTGGAGGATAATTATACTTTGAGCTTCTGACAGTCCAAGTATTACCTTGGCTTTTTGTTCATAAATATTGTACAATATGCGATAAAACATACATAATACTGGGAGGGGCATCAGGCTCGATGGCTTTTATCATTAGTATTGTAGGATATTAACACTATTTTCAGTATCTATATAGGGCATGCTATTTTTTAATTGTTTGTATATTATGTGAAATAAGTACTTACAAAAATATGAGTTAGACTAGATCATTAACTTCCATGGCATTTGTCATGGTGAGGAAAAAAGGGTTTAAGTTTTTGAACATCAGATCGATGAGTTGTTTTTTGATGGTAGGGAAAGTGAGTTAGTACACGAAATAATTTAATGTTTTTTCTTCATATCTGTGTGTTGTAATAAGGAATGGATAGTTTTAGGGCTTTTAGCAAAAGTTAGAATGTACAACTGGCCTCAGGATGCCATGTGTGTGATGTCTTACAGTATGGAGACCCTTTTTGTTCGCATTTGAAGTTTACATTTTAATTGTTATATTGTAATTTTGTTTTAATAAAAATAAAAAAAAATTCTGGTTTCTCCCCATTTACGCAAGCTCTCTGCTGCCTATTTGTCAGCCATGCCTCTACACAGGAAAAAATTTCTCCACCTATTCCATGTGCCTTAAGTTTCCTCAATAGCCTCTGATGTGGAACCCTATTGAAAGCCTTACTGAAGTCCATATACACAATATCATATTCATTACCAAGATCTACCTCCTCAAATACCTTAGTGAAAAATGTTAGTAAATTCATAAAACAGGAACGCCCCTTTGTAAAACCGTGTTGAGATTCATTAATCAGCTTATGCCTATCAAGATGGCTGCGAATTGCTTCAGCAATTACTGATTCCAAGTAAGGCTTATTGGTCTATAGTTCGAAGCTAAGGACCTGTCACATGCTATGTAAATAGGTATTACATTTGCCATTTTCCACTTATCAGGCATGTGAGGGAAAAGTTCAACAGATAGGAGTAGCGAGCGAGTATATGGTGACGATAGTTTGATTGCCGGCTGCTTGTTAAGGTAGGGACCAGTCTAGCTCCCTCTATCCCCTCCCCCCCTTCTCCCCACCCCGAAAGGTGACGTGTGGGGCTCGGACCAAACAGTAATCACTTGACTCACAGCTCCCAGCACAACTGTAAGTAAAAGCCTCTGCTCCTATTCTAGTGGATATATTGGTTGAAAGCTTCAATTTTGACCAATAATAAACTTAGTCCTTTCAGTGTTAAGTTCCATGTTATGCTTTTAGATAATCACCACTTCTTTTAGGTATTGTACTTATCATGGAGAGTGATTTCTTAAGCAGTGGGTAACCTTTGCCTCTTTCCAGCTTGGAATGACAGCTCGGGTCATCTGCCAACCAAAGAAACATGTTGAAGGAGACGGACTGCAAACAGGTCCTGAGACATCACTTTTTGATCTACCTACCTGATTAATTGTAGGCAACAGCAGGCAACTACCCCTCATCTTTGCAGTGGTAAAGAATCTGGATTCCTGTCATCTGGACTGACTATTCAAGGCTATAGACTCTGTGAAGAACTAGTCGTTGGGTTGTCACTCAACACCTGTGACCCCACATCATCAGTAACGGCTATAATTTCTACAAGACGGTATCAACCTCAACCAGACACCCCAGTATAACTGTACATATTAGTGTTGAATTCAAATGTCATTTTTCCATTTCATTTTTCATTTTTCTTTCAAGTAGGATACACATTTATGTTTCAATGTTTTATCTTTGCATTACTAAATAATAAAGTGTTTATCTTTGTGAATTATTATTTGTTTTTCTATTCATTAATTTTCCTGAGGAGGAGCCAGCCTTGGTAATACTGTCTGAAGATGTTACAGGGCTGAGTAAGCCTTCACAAGTGGCGACCTTGCCAGGATCACTCGACTGAATCAAGATTCAACTCCATCTCAAATCTACCATTGGAACTTCAACGCCGCATACGACAGTTACTACCAGCCATGAGTAATCATTCTCTATGGTAGGACTACAGTACAGGTATATAAAGATTTGGTGATTGTTATAGTCTCAATTTATTGTAATCAAAGTCAAGGCAAGATATACTGGTTAATTCTGTCACCTTTATTCTTGAGCTTGAAACGATTTGGAGGAATAGACTCTCGGGACCCGAGATTTTCCAGTGACAAGTTGTTTCATTGAGTTCTATTTGTTATATCAATGGAACTGTTGTAGGACACTCTTGATTTGTTGGTGAGAAGATTGGATGGTCAAGGGACCCCATTCTACTTGCTGTTTGGTCGGAGCCGGCATAGAACGCTCCATAAATAACAAAAAAAGGCACAATACAGTGACTGGAACGATACACAAATAAGCCTTTCATGCACCTCTGTGTGCTTGCTCTCCCTCTGTGGGCACCTAGCTCTCTTG